AACAGTGTCAGCAGTCGCCAGGTTGATACCAAGGCCACCAGCCCGAGTAGAAAGAAGGAAGCAGAAATCATCACTACCAGGCGCATTGAAATGATCCATAGCCTGCTGCCTCAACTCTGCCTTTGTACTACCATCAAGCCTCTGGAATTGGAACCCTCTGAGCGACATATACTCTGCTAGTATATCCAACATTCTTACCATCTGCTTTTGCCATTGTAGTAATCAGTAAACATTGTAGAGTTGTTGGTATCAATGGCAGTAACCTCATATAAGATTATAGACATATCCGTCAGTATATCAGCAGCTCTGCATGCAGGGTTATCTCATTTTACTAAAATCTATCAGACATAAATTTTAATTAAATGGAAAAGAAATGGCAAGTTATGGTCAGAGTCTAGCCTACTAAACTTCATACCAGAACATATAACATTCCTACGACACACAGATAATGTGAATGTACAATGGCGACAGATCTTTAATGAAGTGACCATAAACGTTCCTCAGAAAATATGAGATAAACAAAAAGTGAGAAGCTTGCCAACTTATTTAAAATATGAAAATCCTTTAACACTTTAGTAAATGTACATGCAGATGCAGGCAAGCACAAACATCCCTAGGGAATCAGCCCAACACACCCCTTTGATGACTCGATTATACATGTTTCATCACTAAGTTTACAGCATCGTACTGTTCACACAACCTACATAGCTACCACTATATCTATCAACAATATCAACCAAATTTTTTACAGAATATGCAACAGGAACAGCCGTTCCCAAAATCAGTGTTTCTGGAGAACCCTCAACACTAACACCAATTTACACCTATATTGTAAGTTGACATGCCATGAATTGAAGTGGGTTGAGCAGTAATATAGGAATCTAAATCCAAAAAGTTTATCATTTCAGTACCTAATGAACACAGAAATAGCAGAACAACAACCAAAATAGTTTAATTAATCCTTATGAATGTCTCTAAGCCTTAGGACAAGTCACTCAGCCATAGCATTAGTCAGTCTCTATGGTAGAAAATAGCACATTTTGGCAGCCATTATTCATGCAAGTTAACCAGCTAGCCTGCTAGATGAAAAAAGGCAATTTAACAATAAACAAAGGTATCATTTCTGGCTTTTCTTTATCAGCATCATCATTGATGGTTAGAAATATACTGTTATCAACCCTGCAAGCTTCCACTGAGGAAGTTGCTGAAGAGGACTGAAAAGTTTTAAAACTAACCTGAGAAAAGATCAAAACACGATGCTTAGTCTCATGCAATCTAATAAGCAGCTTCTCTAGTATAACTAGCTTCCCACTGCTTAGAATGATTCTCTCCAGTTTACTGCTATCATTCAATCTAGTGTCACCACCATAACCATGATCAGCACTTTCAAAGAGAAATGGATGGTTGCAGCATTTCTTCAACTCTACTACTATATTCAAAAGTGAAACCTGCAAATCAAGAGAAATGATTTGCTTAGTTTTCTATATTTTTCCAAAATTAACTAACTTTCATCAGTTATAAGATGAGACATGAGTATCTTCAAGAATTTTCATAGAATGCATAAGTCCACACAAAACAGAGTAAAACAAAATCAGGAAAAGCAAACCAACAAAAGGATGACAAATAAATCTGAAACTACAAACCTGATTACCACGAACTCCTTTGTTCAAGTCATGAAAGTTGCGTTCCAAAATCCACTTATAGTACCTATGTTGATTGAACCACGAAAAACAAAATGTTAACGCATACAAAAGGAGTACCATCTCAAGAGAAGCAGTCTTTTCATACTTACTGTTTTTGCAGAGGAGACATTTCAACCCGAAGGATACGCTCTATTTTGGGGGGCAAAGACTTCTCCACATCCTTAATAACCCTTCGGAGAATGTGTGGCCGCAATTCCATATGAAGATTAGCAAGCTAAAGGAAAATTCAATATATAATTTGGATTTAGATAAAATGAAATAAGTGGTAACAAGGAAGAAGTGCATAGAAATAGTAGGGACATTAACAATCAGATTCAATAAATAGTAACAAAAAAAAAGAGCATAGAAGAACTAGGAAACATTATCCATCAAATCGACTATGTCTTGTACCTCACTTTCATTGAATGAGCTAAGATTCTTGTAATTTTGAACAAAATCATCCTTACTCCTAAATTTATCAGGATCAAGGAAGTGGAGAAGTGCCCTGTGAAAAAAGTTTTTTAAAAAAATGTTAGATAATGTAATAGCTGAAGAAATTATGATATGCTAGTAGAGCAATTTCTTATTTGAAATGACATAAAGATATAGCTGACAATGACTTGAAAAGCCTTTAACAAGGTATTAATAATACACTTAACATGAACAATTGGAAAAATTCAGAAGATGACTAACAGAAATGACCATGAAACATTTTAAAACAATCTCAGGACTTTCTTTAAAAATAGATTCACCCATTCAAGCAGCAACGAGAATAATCAACACACACAAAGTAATTAGTAGTCCTTTTTATGGACAAAGGGGGCCAATCTGTGTAGTTACATACGAATACTCTCCTATACTGGTATTACAACAATTTGTCAATTTTTTTGTAAGAACATGATTCTGAGGACATGTACCTGGATAACTGATACATAAATAAGAATCTTAATTCAGTCATAAATACCAATCCATGGAGAAGAATACAAATATAAGAAAAACTTTTCAGCCTCTTAATCCCCAAAAAAAGCAAACAAGTTATCTGTCATAATTAACTTTGCAACTGTATTTGTGATGCTTTACTCTTTGAAAGCTAACATGAAATTTACACTGGAGATGAGTAGTAGAGGCTATGAACATGGTAGCATAAGGAACAACAGAATACCATAACTCCTCAACACTGTTCTGTAATGGAGTGCCAGTTACCAGCAACTTGTTCTTAGTGCTAAATTCCTGCAAAGAAAGACATTTTCCATGATAACCAAAATAAACCGCCCCATGCAAAAGTAAGGCAGAAGCTAAGTAACTGGTAATTAAGCATACCGAAAGAGTTGTATACAACTGAGCCTCACTATTCTTTAACCTGTGTGCTTCATCAACCATCAAATAATTCCACTTTATCTTGGATAGAACAGCTTTATCCTTCAGAACTACTTCATATGTAGTAAGTAGGGCATTAAACTTAATAGGCCTGCCAACTTTCTTATCATTATAAAACTCATATTGCTGACAAACCTGCAACAAAGAAGAAAGATAAAAACATTAAACCAACATTAACATACACCAAATGGTGAATATCACAAATTTAAGCAGAACATATTATTAATCATTTTCAGACAACAGGGTATCTTCAAAGCATTATTAGCCAAACATATTATTAATCTGCATCTCTATATAGCCCTATCAGAGAGTTGGATGAAGTGAAAAACGAAGATTATAATAGCCTCAATTAAATTAAAATGAAAAACAACATAATAGGAAAACAATCCAAACAATCAGAAAATAAAATGAACATACAAGATAAAAATACAACTGGAAGTATCTCTGAGATTTTAACAAAAAAGACCTGACAAAAGAAGACCTTGCATAAGAAAAGATTACTGACCTCTCTGCTTGCACGGGTACCAACATATACAATAACATTCATATCAGGAAGCCATTTTCTAAATTCTTTAGCCCAGTTTGATAATGTGGATAATGGCACGACAACAAGAAATGGCCCAGGAATTTGTTGAGCACTCTGTTGGAAAAACAGAATAAAGAAACCTAAATTTCAATACAGTCAATGAGAGCCAAGCTCAAAATTTAGGAGGCAAAGAAAGTAAAAATTACCTGTAAGAAACCAAGCATAGAAACTGACTGAACAGTTTTACCAAGACCCATTTCATCGGCTAAAATCACGTTTGTATCATTTCTCCAACTGTCATTGAAGATATATGAATAAATATGTGCCTCAAGAAATCATGCTTAAGTAAAACAAAATGCCATCCTTCAAGCAATAGAGACAAGAACATACCTATTAACAAGAAAATTCAAACCCTCAAGCTGATAATCACGAAGTTGTCCTCCCCTTAACCACTCAGGCTGTTCATCAAGCTTCCTTAAACTTGCTAAACAAAACAAGAGTACCCAGATTAAATGAATTTTTCAATGAGATGATGCATAAAATTAAATAATATCATAAGCAAATGCTGATAAATATATATATATATATATATATATTAAAAGTAAATAACTCATATAGTTGAAGACAAAGAACTCTTCTATTAATTTTTGCATATTCAGGCCTTCCTGTCTAAACCAGTAGGATCTAGATCATATAACTACTAGCCAAAATGGAAATGAAGTTATCAGTCATGAAGACCAAAGGCCTCAATAACATTACATGCCTATACAGATCATGGTTTATGAGACTCACATTTAAAATAAAATACAACCAAAATATACATATAGAGAAAGTAATATTAAATAACAATGTATTGTAATAATCTCTTCAAAGCAAAGCCAATTCCACAAAAACATAAGGATTTCAAGGAGATTCAGTCAGTAAGGAAGAATACATAAAGATAAGAACCATGCCTTTTAGTTTAATGGCAAAGAACACCACAAAGTGTGGCTTCCAGCAACTAGCACAATGCTTAAAAAGGTCAGTAAGAAACGATTATAAGAAACCAAGGCTTCTCTTCTAACTTGAAAACAAAGTCAGAGCTAAAAGGCAGAAACATTTTTTATCTACATTGTACCAACAAAAGGCCCAATTTAACATATATGATATAAGAAAATCCACCAGTTAAAAGTATTTCAGCAGAATACTTGTCATACAAAAGATCACAGATACCAAGCATATGAAAAAGGCTCTTAAAAGCAATGACAAAAAGAAGACAAAAACAGAAGAATAAATTCAATGTGATGTAAATCAAATATCCACACTTAAACTCAGATCCACTGAACTTGGCAAATACTATAAGGAGCACAGACCTTTGCTCTTCTTGCGCTGGTTATCCACCATCTTCCCTTGTTCAGCCATTGCAGCATCACGAGCCTGCAACCATAAAAACAGATAGAAACCTCAAATAAATATACAAAAATATTCACATTTTTCAGGATGCATTCTTGGAACACATACAAAAATAATGAAATCAAAAGGGAAGTAATAGTAATGACAGGAGCATGAACTCAAATGATGAACATGACCTAAAAGTTTTGATCAATTCAGTTTTACATATCAATATGTAGCCATGAGCTAAGAATTTTTATGAGCAGATTCCATTTCACCAAGAACTCCATCTTGTCAGTTGACAATTAGAGTGCTAAAGGCTTAAATTTCCATTTCCTGAGACTAATTGCAGCTGCAGAGAGTTGCAAATCATCAGATTGTCAAAGTTAACAAAACATGCCCAGCTACCCTCAGGGAAATTTTACCAAGGAAAACCTGGTCATGCTTGCCCATTTGAAGTAGACCCACAATTACACAGTCCCCTCCTTTCTACTTTATTCCTTTTTCCCCAAAATAAACATAAAGAACACCTTTCAGTTTGTATTTCAACATCCATTTTACTAGTGGTAGAATTTCCACACCTTTTTTTTTTTTCCTTAAACAGTTTAAGTTTATGGCTTATGAAATGGAACACTTTCAGAAATGAAAACAATATTAGTACATGCCACTGCAGTAATGCAGGACTGCCACCATGGTCCAGTAAAATGGAACAAGTTCCGACAAATTGCACAAGCGCAAGTTCAAGTGCTAGAAGGGGCACCAAATTTATGTAAATATGCTAAAGATTAAATTACTTTTTTTCCCTCTCTTCATCAATTTAGAGAGACCCATACTGGCCATGGTAAAACAAACAATATAAAGGGCACTTCCTTAAGCAAAAAAACTATATACCACGAGAATAAAAACAGAAACACTGCATAGATGACATCATCCTCTACCTTATACTCGTCAATGGCATCCTGAGCAAATGCAATATCTACATCCTTTTCCCTGAAACAACAGATCAATAACCACAATTGTAAACACTAAACTTTTTAATGAGAGAGAAGATTAATTTTAATAAAGAAAAAAGGAACACAACAAACTGAATGCCACGAGAATAATTACTCAGCACCTAAAACACACTAATTTTCTCTCTCTCTCTCTCTCTCTCTCTCACACACACACACACACACACACACACACACAAAGCTACTGTACATAAGTAATAGCTAAAATCTCCACTTAGGAGGAATAGAGGTCATTGAGGATCCAGCATAGTTGTTAAGAATCATAAGATAAGTCTAGCAACGCACCAAGTTGCTTCAGCATAAGACAATCCCTGCCACTTGACTAGATACTCTGACATCACATTTCCTGACCCATCTTTATTAATCCGATCAGAAATTATTCTCTCTACCTGAAAAGAGAATCCATTAATCAGTTACAACTAAAAAGAACTCAAACGTAAACAATAAAAATTCAAAAAACACAGAGAAGTAAATGCTAAAAGAATTAAATGACAGTAGCAAACCTGACTATTTTGCTTGATGAGATCCAAATCCATTTCCTTACTCACATCGTTGACCTCTATCTAAAAGTAAAAAGATAAGAGAATAAGATATGCCTCCCAAAACTCAAATTTTAATCAATCCCTCCCACAAAGTTTGCTTAATAAGTGCTAGGCCATTTTTCACAATTTACTTTCTATTTGTTTACCCCTGAAAAATGAGTACTAAAAATCACTGCATGTTTATACATATATGCATGTGCTGAATCATTTGCTTATGTGGAATTAGGATTCAGATCATGTATGTTAATGAAAAAACAAGTGTGAGACTAGTTAAGTTACCTCTTCACGTGAGAGTGACTTCCTATACCTCACTTCCTCCATCACCTTTTTGGTGTAATTTAGGACCTTCTTAAAACCGCTAAGCTGGAAATTCAGTGAAGAAAAATTCATGGAAAAACTAAAACAACAAAGAGAGGAAACAAAACAAAGGGTCTAGATCTATGCAAATGCAAAAGAAAAAAAGAATAGTGCATACATTTTGTAGCTCAGAAAACGATTTCCATTGACAGTGCAGATGTGATAGGCCTTTCCATTTTATCAAGAATTCCATCTCATTCCAATCTGGTTCTGCATCAAACAAGTGGCATAACAGAACAGGCTCAGTTGATCTATTGTTTCTCATAGCTTCTTCAGCCATGCCCCTTGGCTGATGCCATAGCACCTTTTCAATTGAGTCACCATCTTCCTCTTCAGCTTCATCCTAACAATTAGAACTTTAAAAAGAAATTAGAAAAAGAGTATTGTAGCACCACAAGACTCCAAGGAGAAGAATACCAACAACACTAGCAGGAGAAAGAGGAAAATGAACAAATGATATGAGGCCAAAAAGGCCAATCGTTATCATTCACTTCACCCAGAAAGTCTTGTTTACATTTTAAAATAAAAAAAAATTTAAAAATCTGAAAACCAGACACGCCTTTTACAAAAACAAGCCCAGAATTAAAGAAAAGTACAACTAAAGAGCACAACGGAAGTAAGCTTCCTTCACCTTTTGTAACTTTTTCTTCTTGCATTCATCAACATCTTCACTTTCTTCACTCTCTACATATGACACCTTCCGAACAGACCTACTAGATGTTCGAACCTCACTGTTTCGTCCAATATCTGTTGACATAGTAGAACGAGCATTACTTTTGCAAAGATGTGTACCTCTTCTTGTCATGCTCTTGAAGTCCTCATTGTCTTGGCTGTCACAATCCTCATCCAAGTACTCATCCTCTTCCAAAGATGCTTTGCCTCTTGTAGGTCTGCTAGAAGCTTTGCGTTCTCTAGCAGGTTTTTGACTATGTATACCTTTTCTCTGCAGGTTACCCTTAGGTCTTTTTGCATCATAAGAATCATCTTCCTCTGAGACATCTACATCATCACCACTATTATCCTCTTCATCAGTATCTTCATCATCCCAGTCTTTATCCTGGTGTTTTTGGAAAAAGCACAAAATAAGTGAACATTAATATCTGCTGGGTGGCAATGCAACACTCTATACAATTACACAATCAGAAGTTAGAAGCTTCCATAAAATATAAGTTTTGCCAGAAAAAAAAAAAAAGCCATTATCTTTCATGCATCACCATCTTTCCACCAATTATCATTCCATTCCAAAATTCAAAGGAAGATTGACACAAATGAAACGTTGCAGTATTGAGAACTTCATCCAGTTGAGATTTTAAAATAACGAGTTCCATAAATTTCATGAAATTGAGCAAATATTCAAGTAGCACTAGCTATTTGAACTAAAACATATTGCTGCCTACAATCCATACATCATCCTACATGTTAACCAACCAGATGCATCATATCTGCTTAAAATATAACCCTACAATCCAAACTCGCAAAGGACTTTTGTCTAACTCCTAAACAACTAAGAGAACAATTTTGAAAGGCTAATCAAGTCCTAGACTTGTATGACACAGTCAATTTGATCTTTATCTTCTTTCATTCTGTTTTCTTGATTAGGCCAGATAATGGAAAGATGCACCACTTAAGATGCAGAAAATCAAAATCAAAATAATCAGACAAATGAGAGAAAGAAAGAGAAATATCATATTGAATACGATCATGCTCTATAAATGTATTATCATATTGCAACTCCAGTGATGCAAATGCTATAACCTTATTCCCCGTGTGACCACTTGTGTCACCAAACTCAGGTTCAAAATCTGCATCATCAGGATCATCTGCTGCAAACAAAAGAAGAAATGCTCAGGCACAACCAAAATGAAGACGCGCTTCTAAATGGTTGGAATAATCACGGTACATGTCAATATGCCATCCATCCAATTCCACAAAACTAACATGATCTATACCAGTAGTTGAAAATTAACATTCAGACACTACCCAAAAATGAATGCAATTGTGTCCGCATGGTTGGAGTGATCACAGACACAGTACAAGTCATCCCATCCAATTCAATGTGCCTCCACACTTTATGTTAGCAATTCAATATTAGAGCAGTAATGAAAGAGAAATTACCATCTTCCTCATCCTCTTCTTCATAATCCGCATCAGCATCATCATTGTTGTCATTATCCCCATAATCATATTTACGATTATTCACTCTTGTACTCCTTGACATATTTGTATTAGCAGATGTAGGCTTTGACTGAGGCCTAGAGTTCAACCCAGAAGAAAGGCTAAACCCTCTATAGTGCATTGTATCGCTCTGATCTTCCCCATCCTGCTCATAGTATTCATCAGATAACATTTCTTCTGCAGGGACATCAGAATAGCCCCCATGAGCCTTGGGCTTCTGACCCTCGTTATCCTCAGACTCTGACCTGTCATTCCGGTCGACAGATGAATTATCTTCCAAACCTTCAACCTTTTTATGCTCAGATTTTGATTCAGCCAAGTGGTTCATGGGCTGGCAATCCTTCCAAAATGTTGAACCCCATCTTCCAGGAGCCGCTCTTCTTCCTGGAAGCTGAAAATGTGAATTTTCCCTACCAGCACCAGGGTCAGCACCTGACTCATCATTAATCCTAACAATATCATCTGGCTCACCATCACTCTGATACAGCAGATCCATGTTCATATCAAATTCTCTTTCACTACATGTGCCATCTACATCCTCATTTCCAACAGAACTATGAATATTATGGACATCATCCCCCTGGACTTTCTCTTCCAAGACACTATGTGAGACTACTTCATTGGAATAATTCCTAAAGAAGGCCATTCTCTTACATAGAAATCCTGAAAAAAATTTCTTCCCTCCTCCAAGATTGTAAAGAGACACAGCAGTGAATGTCAAGAAGCCTTCCAAATCTTCCTTGATAACCTAGAAAAAGACCATGACCACAATTTTTTTGGTCATTAAAGACACTAAAACAAGAAAGAGAAGTTCCAGTAGCTTACACATTCTACAGTTTTGATTACTATAAAAGACAATTATCACTAAAATGGCAAATCAACCGCCTTATAAGACATTCTTACGCTATATCAGCTCAACAAGATAAGCATTCAACTGAAAAATATACAAAAAGCAACTGCAGCCGAGATTGAAGTTCAGAGTCAGTAACACGCTGCATGAAACTTTTCAAAATTTCCACTCGCAAAAATTCGAAATAAACAGAAGACAAAGGCACTTTCTGAAATGAAATAGTATATTAAAGAAGTGAGCAGAATGAGAAAAAAGAGTTCCAATAAGCTCGAAGCTGAACAGCTACGAATGCAAATTCAATTCACACACTCTATAGTGCTCTCGAGCATAAAACAATGGAATTGAAACCAAATCCAATCACAGCAATCATGAATGCAAGAAAGAAGACATGAGAAAATCAAACAGAGCAAACAATAGATCCATCGTCCTGTACACGAAACAAAACGAAATCGAAGTCTAGAACTCCGATTGGCAAACCCTAAACCGCAAACCCAGCCTCTAATAACAATCAGGTAGCCTAAAAGCACAATCTATCAGAACGAAACGGGAAAAAAATCGACGGCGGGGCAATGAAACCGATTGTTTCGTTCAGGAAATGAAGATAGTCTAACCTTTATATCAAGGTAGTTGAGATAAGCAGAGTTTATGACTTATAAGGTGAAGAATTTCAGAGAATGTTAGGGGTGCACAGGTTAAAAATGGTGCGCACCTCTTAAATCGCCGGAAACTGAATTATCTGCCGCGAAATTTGAAAAAGAAAAGGAAGTCGTTTTCTGTTTTACGGGTTTCAGGTTATGGTTCTCGCGTTCGGGTTTGCTTATCGACGGCGGCGGCGTGGGTGCGACTGGTGGTGAGGGTAACGAGGTCCGATTAGGAAGGAGGAGGAGGAGGAGGAGGAGGAGGAGGAGGACGGTGCGGTTATTGGATTAATCGTCGATCAGAAAGAGCAGAGTTAAATTTATTTTAGAGAGAAAGGTGTTTTCTCTTCAAGAGAGAAACCAAAGGGAAAAAAATAGGTTAAAACCCCGATTCAGTCCCTAAGCTTTCATTTTTGGACTAAAACTACCCTTAAACTTCAAAAAGTACTAAAAAAATCCTTAAACTTCAATTTTTGGGACCAATTTCGTCCTTCCGTCGACGGAAGTGCCAGATGGCAGGTTAAGTTGCCACGAAATCAAGCAATTTTTTTTTCAACTAATGACATGGAAAAACCATATGTAAAAGTGTACGAGTTGGCATCCCTCATTACTCCGGTCATCTCTCATCTTGCAACCCAATCAGCACCGATCATCCCTCATTACTCCGATCATCCCTCATTACTCCGATCATCTATTACCACTCCAATCACCATCTACTTCTTCCCCAAACCTCCTCTCTAATAGAACTTAAATCTGATTCCTCGCACAATAATAATGACCAATAGATCTGATTCAAAAAATCAATTCCTCGACAAATTATACCAGATCTGTAAAGAAAAATATAAAAAACACAATATCCCTTCAATCAACACCAACAATAACTAAATTTGGAAATTCAAGCAATCAGAAGCCATACAAAACTCTAAATCTCATTCAAGCATGACTGCAGCAAACCAACAAGGAAACAGAACAAAAACCCAGGTGGGTTCGACTCAAACCCAAGCGCTGGGTTCGAAACCCAGGGCCTGGGTTCGAGGAACCTGCACATGGGTTCCATCGAACCCAGGCGTGCTGGGCTCGAAGGAACCCAGGCGTGAATCCAGCACGCCTGGGTTCGAGGAACCCAGGCGCTGGTGCTGGGTTCCTTCGAACCCAGTGGGGAGGGGAAGGAGAAAAGGAAAGAGAAGGAGAAAAAAAGAGGAAAGGAAAGAAAAAAAGAAAGAAAATTTTTTTTTATTTATTAAATTATATTTTTGGTGCAAGTCACAATATTTTTATAATTAAAAATGCCACATCACTTGTTTTATTTCCAAGTAATATTTAATATTAATAAAAATTGAATTGGTTAACGGAAAATTTTGCCATGTCAACACTTAACTGACGGAAGGACAAAATTGGCTTCAAAAATTAAAGTTTAAGGATATTTTTAGTACTTTTTGAAGTTTGAGGGTAGTTTTAGTCCAAAAATGAAAGTTTAGGGACTGAATCGGGGACTTAACCAAAAAAATATGATGCGATACGGAGAGGCTTTTGGGGAAAAAAAGAAGAAAAAAAAAAAGAGAAGAAGAAGGTTTAGTAAGTTGTTAATAGTGTAATAAATATATTTTTTATAATTAATT